AAGCTAAGGACTGACGAGGTCTTACCTTTTAACGTGTGATTCCTAACACGGGTTGGACGATAGAAAGTGAAAATCGATCGTCCGGCCTTGCGGTTCGAACTACCGATTTGCACAGCGGTCGATTGACTGAGTGGAACTGACCACCCACGTCAACCCACCAGGCTACCGTCCTACAAAACTACTATCATGTAACCATTTGTAATAACGTTTACTTCAGAAATCAGGGATATGAGTGAATATATCTTTTTTTTCAAACCCCTTCCCCTGGTATCAAACCGGAGTTTATTTTGCCACAGAATTTTCGAATCAATCAAGTTACTACTTTTTATGTTGATATTTCAGATTCAATTATATCCGCTAAAGAAAAATTGTCACAAGAGCATAATGGATTCACATCAATGCTTATTTTTGCCAGATGTGCAGGAAACTTACCATGGTTCATTTTCATTCGTGTGATGGTAGTAGCGTAAAATCTTAAAAAGTTGAAGTTGTCTATGTGGGAGATACTTTTGGGAATAGTGGGGTGGATTATTGAATATTGATTTTTTGATTAAGAAGAGATTTCTTTCCAGAGTCTCCCCCAATTTAGTCGTATTTCATATCTAACGTCTGAGACTATATCTTGCGGGGAGCTGATATCAGTTATCAATTCTAAAGAGGTGGCTTCTTTCGCTGCTACATCTACTTTTTCATTTTCGGTAAATATGTTTCACAGTGAGTATAACCATTTCAAATGAATACCCATCCTTAAATCAATAATTATGATATGAAACTTCTCCCCTACTCATCAACGGATAACCTTGAGATTGCTGAAGTTGAAGAGAGATGAAGGTTTCCCTTTCGTTCCCATTCAAATCACTTCTCGGTTGAACGTGTTATGCGAGTAATGATGAAACAAAAAATGAACTTATCAGCCTGACCTACATTACTCCCCTATATGCTCTTGAAGGTGCATAAAGGAATATATGCGTTTTGTTAGAATGAAGGGGATTTTCCCGTAAATATGGTGCAGAAAGTGAAGCGCAATACAACGTACAGTCGACTTCAAAATTATCGTCCAGATTTTTCAGTTGTACATGTGCAAATAAGACCGCTGGTTTGATTTTTTTTATATCGAAGATATTTTTGGCCATATTATACTTTTGTTTAGTAACACAACTTGACTCAGTCGATCCAAGAATGTCATTATCTTCAGACACCTAACGAGTGTATCAACGGTCTCCCGATAACATAGTGTCAGTTTTTTTTTGACTATAGCAGAAATAGAAAATCAGAATTCTTCAGCTTCAGTTAATTAATCTTCGTCGCCGCAGACACTGTCCACTGCGAAGAATGAAAAGAAGGTCAAAAACTCAAGAAGTAAACCGTTAAAAATGCACTTGTGAAAAAGGCATTCTACAGTATACAGGAGTATTATGTTGACAATCTGGCTTAGTCCTGAAAAGCCTTGAAGTTGTAATGTTGTCGCTTATAATTTTTACCGTAACTTGGATCATCTTTGCTTTCATCATTCTAAAAATGTATGTANTTACTATCCATTCTGTATAACACGCTTTGTCAATAAGATTTATTCTTGGACAATAAAGCATATTTTGATTTGATTTGATTTCTCATCCAACTACGTCGGAAAGGGTTAATAACGCCATTGAAGGATTGAAGGAACGGGGAGGTTCCTCTTTACAAGCCATTAAAAAATATATTGTGTCGAATTATAAGGCTGATGCAGAAATGTGGCACCTTTCATCAAGAAATATCTTGAATCTGAGGTGGCTTCTGGATCATTAGTATTGTCGCAACTCAGTACTCGCTTGGCTTATTAGCGAGAGGATTTTATTCGCTGTTTCACCCATTCATCATTCATCCAATTGATGAAAGAACTCATTTGAAAACTTAATTACATATTCATTGTAATGAATTTATTTTCTTTTTTCATTCCTTTAATTTTTATTTATTCAATTATTATATTTCTACTTGTAGGTTATTTCACTATCATTTCATTTCAGGTTTATTGTTGCTTAATATAATTGTTATTTTCAACTATTCTTTTTTAATTATTTTTTTACTCGTTTCAGGGATTTCAAATCATTTTATATAGTAGACAATGGAAGTCCGAACTAGTGAAATTTACACTGAAATGTTAATCAAAAATACAATAAATCACCGAAAAATTACATTATACAGCAACCCAGCAGAATCGAAGAAAAAGATATGTGCTGCATTGCTGGAACCTTTTCTGAATAGCATTTAGATACTGAATGAATTTCCTCAATTTTTATGAAAATTTATATGCTGACGTTGCAACTTTGATCCGGTCACTGTACTGAGGTAAAATGCTCAGTATGCAATCTGTGCAAAGTTTGCGTATTTGGTGTTTGTTTTATATTTCTATATCCTGTGATCATATCAATTTCGACGTCTATGAACATGGAATATTAAAAGATGGAATTCTGAATACTGAGTGTTTTTGTTTTAGGATATTGAAGAGGAGGTAGATCTAGAAGGATCTTAATGGCCGCTGACGGTGTGGTATTGATAGCACCACTGATGGCTAAACAAACCTGTCTCTGTAAGCAAGAGAGCTTCGCCTGGGCCGTTTTCTGTGAAGCCTTCGGCCAACAGTCAATTGCACCATAAGTGATAATTGGTCTGACAATCATCACATGAATCCAATGAATTTGTTTGGGACCTAAACCCCAAGTTTTACCACAAATCCTTCGACATGTCCATAGGGACAGTCTGGCTTTGTGTAAAACTTTTTCCAAGTGAGGTGAGTTTTTTATCAAGGACAATGCCAAAGATTTTATTTTAATCTGATCAATACCATAGATTGCTGAGGTGAGTGATGTAATGACTGCTACCTAGGACCTTTCGAATTATTTTTTAATATTCAGTACAGTATCTACATCATTATTATCTTTTTTGTCAATAGAACCGTTTATTGCAAACATTTTTTCTTACATATTTTATTTTCAAATTTTCGGTTTCTAATTTTGTTACTCAATTCTTCTCATAGTGTTCAGTTCATTTAGTGCCTCTGTATTACGAGATAATATGTAATCCACCGTTTCGTACCTGCAGCCTTCTTGAATTTGCATTTTCTTCAAAGTGTACTACTATAGTACACGCGTTGGCTGTCGTTGTTTATCTTTCACTGCCTATACCACTTTACATGCTGTTTTGGGCGAGTGCATTGGCTTGGGATGTGGTGGTTAAGCAAACCGGCCATCGGATGCCTGCTTCCACGTAGCCCCGCTGGATACGGGAATGACAGAATCACTTGTGGTTCTGTTATTGCCTAACTGAATGGCATCTCAACGATGGCTTAATCCTAAGGTGTGTGTATCCGTGCCGAGAGGATGAATGACACTGAGCCTATCAGCTGTCTCTACGGAACCTCGTCGAAGCATCGCCTTGTCACGGTAATGCGGGGCTCTGCCGTGATTGACCTTCTTTCCCTAGCTACTCGTGGGACTTTTATGGACAGAGTGAACTTGAAAATTCCTTGTGACGCTGAGTCTATAGAGGAGGTGGATATCGAGTTTACGACTCCAACTGACCTCCCTGTAAATTTAGATCAGGAGTGAGTCTACAGAGGAGATGGATGTCGAGTTTACGACTCGAACTGACCTCCCTGTAAATTTAGATCAGGAGCGAGTCTACAGAGGAGATGGATGTCGAGTTTACGACTCCAACTGACCTCCCTGTAAATTTAGATCAGGAGCGAGTCTACAGAGGAGATGGATGTCGAGTTTACGACTCCAACTGACCTTCCTGTTGATCAAGTTCAGGAACGAGAGCTTCTCAACTCCCCAATTCCTGATCCAATAACTGAACAAAAAATAAAGTTTTGGTGGTGCAGCCAGGAAATGAAGCCATCTCCTCAAGAGCGGGATACCTTATAAAACCACCTTGCCCCTAATTCTTGAGCGGCATACGCAGAATCTGTCTCAGGTGGAGGAACAAACCCCCCATGAGCAGTTTAGCAAATATTTGCGCTCAAGTGATGATACACCAAAACCAGAGGCGAAAAAGTTCTGCACGGTTGAATCTAAGGCATCGTCAACTGTAGCTGACATGCAAAAACCCTTATATGGGAAGGTTGAAGCCGGTATCAAGGTGAGAATCTTGCACCTTGACAATCCGACTACCTCATCAACTCACTCACCATTCAAACTAACCGTTAAGAAGCTGGGTTTGTTTTGCGAGTGGGAATAGGTGTGAGCCACAATAAACCCTTGCGAGTTGCGGTGGGGGTTGAATAAACCCACTCACTTTGGACCTAACCTAACTTTAGTACTAGTCAAGCATTGGCATTTGATACCCTCACTGAGTTAGTTGTGGAATAATAACTAATCCGCCATTTTGTAGCTGTGGCCATCTTGAATTTGCAATGATACAGAATTTATTGAATTGTATTGTCCTCGAAATTAAATGTGTGCACTAAATTTCAGATCTATGTGTCAACATGTAGAAGGACGCAAATTTCAATTTAAATATGACCCAAACAAACAAAAAAACAGGGCAAGCTAAATAAAACCGTTCAATAAAAATGATGGGAATACACCACAGATCTGTGATTAACGTATTTTATATAAAGTACGTCAACCTCTAATATCATTTTTATATGTAAAACATATACCATGCTTTCAATGTGTATAAATATTGGGTATTTCGTCCTCCTGCTGAATATCCTGCACTGATGGAAATGAAGAGTAACAATGAAAGTAGGTACATACACAGCTGAATAAAGAGTTTAGATATTGTATTCTCAATTTCCTTATTGATGAATCATCAGTTCGTTTCGTCAACAGGTTATATTATCTCTGCAAAATTTCTTCTGCCTCCGTGCAAACGAAAGTAAATTCAAATATTCGTGGGCTAAAATAGTATGGCAAATCATCTACACCTACACTACTTTCGTCAAGAGTGAAATTTTCTATGTGATCACTTCTCGTCAAGTAGTAGCAGTGTTTAAGTGGAGTCTGACTATTGATAGTTATCATGTTTCGTGAAAGAATATATTTTCTAATCATCTCAGTTAATTTTGTTAACAGTGGCGGTTCCATTAAAGCAAAATCTGATAATGAAACAGCTGAAACACTGGGGTAAGCAGTATCGAAATTTATTTAGCTAGTACAATTACACTTCGAGTCAGAAATTCAGTGTTATCTTGTTGATTTAGCTGCAGCAGTGTTATGAGATTTGTCTGAAGCCTTCGATTGTGTAAATCATGAAATACTCGTTATCTATTCAAATGAAATGGAGCTTCGAATCGCTGTTTTTTTATTAGGCAGCATCGACTGCTAGGATTATTAGCTACTACTTCTTAGCTGAACACGTCAATACTCAGTTATATTTTTCGGTAGGTCCAAAGTAAGTGGGTCTATTCCACCACAACCCGCAAAAGTTTATTGTGGCTCGGTAGAGGTTACTTTGTTACTTTTGTATTTTTGATTCAGACCACATCATTCAGCAAGCATTCTGGTAGTGTCATAGGCATATTCAGTGTCTGTCAAAGTTATTCGTGAACTTGATATTCGATTGAGGTATGATTGATCGTTTCTATTCTATTGCAGATGTTGCATACTTCTGGTCTATCTCCCCGTAATAGGTATGATGAAATGAGAAGGGTGTGTGCTATTTTTAGGCGGGTTAGGATCAGTTGTTCACGTCGTGTCAATTTGCATAAAGAGTTCGTTTTGTCTACATTGGGTTTGACAGCTTTGAGTTTCCCATTATTAGCATCCCATTCTCATTGCCATTTATGTTTAACCTCGATGTCTACTATTCTTTCGAGGTCATTGGATCGAATAGGTATGTCATTGATTTTTTGCTGCTTGACAGGCTGCGTTAACACCTGCTCCATTTCCAGGGATTCCGACATGTCCCGGTGACCAAATGAAGTATATATTTTTTAATAAATTGATGGATGTAGCCGTTACTACGTGGTATGAAATCATAATAAATAAAAGAGAAATGAAACTTTTAATGTTTTTTACCACTTTTATTTGTAACTTACGTTACTGCAGTCCTATACGGACATTTTCAAACTTATACAATAAACTAACAATGATTCATTACATTCGCTATTATATACTACCCCTGTAGGTACTTATAGAAACAGAGTTACTTGACTTGATTGATTGCCTGAATTTACAGTTCACAATACGGATGTGCCAATTTAAAAACCGGCGAGTAAAGTAAATCGATTTGATCATTTAACAGGTTGTACCCGCAGTGTTTATGCTTGTGAGCTTCCAAGGATTCTAAACAATTGAGTTTGCAACCTTTCCTGGCATAGTGCAGAATTTCCGTATCGTTTACATATTTTGGAAAAAGAACAGAGATAATTGCGGGTTTCTTCAGAAAAAACAATGTGGAAGTGGCATTCAGACCACATGCCAGGTTATCTCATTTCCTTTTCAATGCTAAAGATAAGGCCGACATGTTGGAAAAATCTGGACCGAAATTTCCAAAAACGGTATGCTGAACATGAAAGGTCCTTCAGACTAGAAAAAAATGATTCTACGTTTTCAAACCATTCCTTATCATGCAACCACAAGTTTCCGAATCTAAACGATACGGAAATTCTGCACTATGCTAGGAAGGGTTGCAAACTCAATTATTTAGAATCCTTGGAAATTCACAAGCATGAACATTGCGGGTGCAACCTGTTAAATGATCAAACCGATTTAGTTTACTCGCCGGTTTTTAAATTGGCACATCCGTATTGTGAACTGTAAATTCAGGTACTCAATCAAGTCAAGTACCTCTATTTCGATTAGTACCTAGAGGGGTAGTATATAATAGCGAGTGTAATGAATCATAGTTAGTTTATTGTATAAGTTTGAAAGTGTCCGTATAGGACGAAACTGCAGTAACGTTAGTTACAAATTGGTCAATTCATTTCCTAATGTTGTCATATATACTCAGAAACCAGTAAATTTTTTTCAATACTCTCAAAATATCAGTTCCTACTTGTCATGCACTGTTTGGAACCTTTAGTGTAGTAATGTAGATCACCAAGCGATCATCTTCAAGAGGAAGATCAGTTTGATCTTCCTATTGAACGGTTTAGTGCTGGGAAAAAACTCCAGTAATATTCATATCAGTTCCTGTTTGCAAACTCTTTCAATAACTTGCAATAAACATTTTTTTTCGTTTCGCACTCAGTTCAAAAATCAAATCAAAATCAAAACTTTATTCATCCATTCCATAATTGTCNGCTGGACCGCGAATGCCTGCCTCATTTAGTCTTTCTATTAATATTTCGTGACCTACCGTATCAAAAGCCTTTGCTAAGTCGAGAAATATACATAAACATTTCTCTGACTTATCTAAGCAGTCAACAATCCCTTTTGTAAGATCAATTATGGCATGTTGTGTACTTAGATTATTTCTGAAACCAAATTGCCTGTTAGATATTATTTGATTTTTCTCAAAAAATTCCATAAGTCTAGATTTCAAACATTTTTCAAAAATTTTTGCTAAATTATCTATAACTGAAATTGGTCGATAGTTACTAGGATTTTTTTATTTCCGGATTCAAAGACAGGTGTTATATTACTTTCCTTCCATTGCTTTGGTATCACCCCTTTTGAAAAGGATGGATTAATGATTTATGTCAGTGGTGAAATTATGTGCATATGTATTAATTTGATTGTATTCACGGTCAGGCCGTCAGGACCAGTACGTCTTGAACTATGTACTTTTATCATTGACATTTATACTTAAAAATATCGTCATGATTGAAAACAAATATGAACATTTCAAGCACTAGTTATTTTTTTCAGGTCCCTTCTGAAGTATGCCCTTCACAGTCGCCAGAATTTTGGATATGACCCATACTTGGAACAACCTGAACATCACCCCCTATACCCAGCAAAATTTCCTCCCACGAAATACCCTGTTTTTCCTTATGCTTCACCATTTCCGTATGAACATATACCTCATAAAATTCGCCAAGCACATTTTCAAAAACCGTATTACTCCAGACCCATTTACTCCAATGCTTTCAATTATCATTCGCCACCGACTTGGGAACACACTAAACAATCAATCATGGAAGTTTTGTATTCCCTTTCAAACAACGATGACCTACAATGTGTTCCAAAAATTCTTTGCGAAGTGACATCAGGTGAGTAGAAATTATGTAACATTCATTATTGAAATCTGTTATTATAAATTTGAAATTTTATTGGAAATTTAATTATATCGCTCCTAGTCATATGGCAAATTGAATCTGAATCTTGAAAATCTGAATGTTATTCTCAGGCTTGTCTTTCAAGGACAGTTGAGTCCAGCAATACATTTGTGGTTCAGCCTGTGGCACCAGTGATGATACTTATGACTGGTCGAAACATCGCGACTGTCTGGTGTTGCATCAAAAATGCGTTGTGTTTGGGCTCTGGTTGTCAACTATTCCATTGTAAAAGCAAAAAATATCCAAAAATGTTATTTGGGGTCATTATTTTACCATTCCAGAACTGTAGTACCACTGCACCTTATCACTTGCCTATAGGTTTGGGGGTAGAATATAGCAAAACACCATTTATGGGGTACACCGACAATCAATAAGAAACAAGGAAAAGTTTTCAGAGTCCAACGGAAGTCATATATTTACAAGATTTGAAGCATATCTTATAAAACGCCAAAGAAAAAATCGGTATCATTTAATCTCAACCTTTCTGTGAACAATCTTGAATCTTTCATCACCATTATTAAGTAACAGAAACAGCAAGCAGTTAGAAATCACCAGAGGGCCAACATGAAAGCAAAAAATCTGTATATACATAAATGGAATCTATTCCACTGGATTTTACAAACGTTATGCCAGTCATGCACAATTTGGAGTGAGTTTTGAAGTGCTCGTGGACATACTTGTAAGCATTTTACCAGTAGCAGTTAGGTAGAAACACTATGCTTCAGTATACAGATGGGTTCAAGTCCCTCAAAAGCACTCCGATCATTTCTCAGATTGAATGGAAGATGAATGCTTAAATTGTAGAAAAAGAAAAAAGATTCATTTCAATCAGCTCTCTGACCAGTGGTAAGAATATCGACAAGAGAAATTTCAGTTACATTAAATAGTTGACTGGGAAAACATTTCAAATTGCCGTTATACAAATATTCAGACTTCAAAAATGAACAAACATGGCAGAGTTGAGATTTTAAATTCTTCAAAATAATTCTTACAACTGGTTGTACTCTATACACCAGCAATACAACGAATTATTTTTTTCTGGGTAATGAAACCATCAATGAAATAGAAGAAATTGAGCGAAATCGGAAACAATCAGCAGATCATTTATTCGTAGAGTGACATTTCAAATATTTTGAAAAACCGAATGACTTAAAATCTTGAACTTTTGTTGACAGGTGGATTAATGGGTCGACAAAGTGGCACAATTCTACCAGTTAATATCGACATGGAATCTTTAATTGGGTGAGTAATGCTAAATTTATGGAAAATTCTTCTATCAATTTCGATATATTTTCCACGATTCCTTGAAATTGAATTTTGAAACAGATCCTTGTTTAATATTAACTGTCCTGAACTATCTAGCCATGTAAAACACTTCATCTTACAGAAGCCACTGGTAATTCCGCAATAAATGTATATTATAAAGTCCCCACCGTATCTGATCCTCTTTCTGAACGTAAACGGTTTTCACCAATTGACGAAGCGATTCAAGAATATGGTTCATCTGTTAAATTTATTGATTTTTTGTGTTGATTGACGATCTCATCCTTGAGAAGTCGAGGCGGTGGTGACATCTGTATCTGTAGAGTGGGGAGGGTGGGTATAGACCCACAGCCACATGTGACCCATTGTACATCCTCCCGAGGAGTTGTCCTCCTGGGTCATCCTCCATCCTGTCCTTTTCGGGAAGGTGAACAGGTCGCTGGGAGACATCTCCTTTATATCGGCAGGTGTAGGTCAAGACTCCACGAAGGTTTTGGAAGGTGCAGCGACATTACTGTCGTTGTGCGGCGTCTTCAACCTTCTTGGGGTTCCCTCCGTAGAGGTGCACAAGTGAGGGAGCTTTCCTGCAGGGACATGAATAATGCCATCGCCATGGTTGCCCTAGCCCGAAGGCCTTTCAACTAGCATCTTCCCTCTGTCTAGTACCATCACTGTCAAGGAAACCCCTACTCCTCCAAACTCTCCCCCACCCCACCGCATCACTGACGCAGAACGTCGCCAATGCGCTGAGACGAATAGGCGAGGTAGAAGACCCCTTCTCTTTATTAACCAAAATAATAATATTACAATACATACTTATTTCCACAAATCTTCATAACTCTTAACTGAATACCAAATATAAAAAACAAACATTGAAACAACTCTACTATTAATACATAAGAAAATCAAATGAACTATTTCTTTATCCCAGCCCATTACTCCTTACAATATGTCCGCATATATCGGATTTATTAACAACTCAGCTCCACCGACTCATATCCAGCCACGATCAGGATGACAGCCACGTCCCTCAGAAGTGACCTTTCCCATTTCGCCTGTGGTAGCTTGGTAACTCACTCAAATCCTACTCTTTCATCTCTCACCACCCCATCCGCCCATTCATTCGCGAATCTTATCCATTCATTCTTTTTCCCATTTCCATCCCTTAAACTCATTTCCCCATTCACTCTCTCTATTCTTCTCTTCCACTCTCGCCATCCAATCTTGTCCCCTATCATGCATCTGTCTATCACATGCTCCGCCGTTTCCGGCTCTCCATACCCACACGAGCAGGAAACCTCCGGGCCCAGGTTGAATCGCGCCAGGTATCCCGGGAAATTCCCATGCCTGGTGAGCAACTGGATCGCCTTTCGCGACAGATCTAGGGATTCATACCATCTACAGAATCTGTAGAACAGTCGCCCAGTCTCGCCCCTCTCCCATTCTCTTTGCCATTCCCTCTTGATGCTCTCCTTCATTCTATTTCTTTCCTCCATTTTGCAATGAGTCTGTCTCACACTCATTGAGACATGCTTCCTTTTCATGCCCGTCTGGGCCTCTTCATGGGCTTTCGCGTTTCCCACGTTATCGGCATCATGTCCCCTCCTCCATATGATTTGGGTACGTACTCCCCTTTCTCTCCTTACCTCAATCAGCCTTTGTATCCTTGCAACCCTTTTATTCACCACTCTTCCTGCATTCATTCGTTCTACCGTTATAGCAGAGTCACTGACAATTTTCAGACTCTCCTCCACACTCATGCCAATCACCCTCTCTAATCTGCTTCATTCACACTACTCTGCCAGGTGATCCTTTCATTCCCTGTGTTCTATTCATTTCCTCACCTTTTGCACGCCCATCCTATTCCCATTTTTCCTTCCTCCGTTCTCGCTCCGGCGTCCACGTACACTTCATTCACCTCCTCTTCCTCCAACCCCTCCAGCAACTCCCCTTGCAACCAGGGGGAAATTTTGTTCTCTCCTTTCACTTTGTCCTCTATTTTTCTCTTCTCATTCACTCTCCATTCATGATATCTGGCCCATCCTTCCACCAGAAGTGGCGCCATTCCGGTGATGACACTGAGCGCAGCCTTTGGCGTCGTTCTGTATGCTCCGCATGTAGGCAACAGAAACGGCTTCTGTGCCGCACTCAGCTGTCTTTTCACCCTGCTATCGTGTGCTTTTTCCCCCCAGACCTGTACCCCATACAGTGCCGCAGGTTTGGCCACCCTTTCATATATCATCCTTACACATTCTCTCTTAAGTCCCACATTCCTCTCGGTCCACCTCGTCAATTTTCCTGCCAATTCGCTCGGTTTCTTCCTCACTTCCTTGTGGTGGTCTATAAACAGTAGTCCTGTATCCTGCAGGGGCAGCCGGTATCTGGCAGTGGTGATACGTTACAATCTTTTTTCGGAAACCGCTGCCCAATTCTTTCGAGATATAATGAAATAATTCACTATTTTTTCAAAGGTTCGCGATGGAATATGTCTATCTTTTAGGGATAACTCACTATACTCACGTTTATTAATTCCTCTATAGAAAAAGTCTAACGGGGTCAAATCGCACGATCTCGATGGCTAGTTCACATCATCTCCACGTGAGATGATGTGAAATTTGATTATGATTGATTTTTTCAAAACCTTTGTTATGTCAAAGAAAAAATAAAGTATTCTACTCGCCAAAAAATGATCATTACTTGCTTGAATTCAGCTTGCGCATCGATAAACTTTCTCACGAGTAAATTCTTCAATAGTTGAATAATACACTATTATACGAGTACATCCGTCATGTTACATTCATGAAGTTGTTTATCATCATCATTATCGCCTCTTCATGTTTACGTTATCTTTTTTCAAGCTCTGGCTTTGAGGAGTTAAATTTTGCTCACAGTCTAATATAAAAATATTTACGTACCGTATTGTTTTCGATTACAGAATTGTATCTTCTCTCAATGGAGTTCAGGGATCACCGTTACTGTACTTTGGAAAAGCTGCCTTACTTGGTTATACGTCTAAAAATAATCCTCGGGCTTGTGATCACGCTTATCCAGATTGCCCTAGAGATCCCAACAAACTAGTGCAGTACCTAAACAATCATAACGGGGGATTTTTCAGATACTTCAATGGGATCCACCCAACACACATGCAACTGCATCACGATTTTCCTTTTTACCAACACCAGAACTACCTTCAAAAGTATGCTCCCCATTACCAAGATCAGCATTACCAAAAGTACAAGCCTGGATACTATAGACAGAAAGCAATTGCAGAACAAAGGATTCAAAATAAACCTGATTACTATATCTCAACAAATAACATCGGTGATCAAAAAGTGATATCCTTTCCAGAAGAAGATCCTGGATATTTTAGAGCGCAAAAAGAACTCGTCTTCCCTCCGAGTGAAGACCATTTCACTTTATATAAAACAAAGAATCCCCTAAAATTTCCTGAGAGCAATTATGAAGATTACCCTGATCAACCTTATCGAAAGCCCAAGGAACTGCCATTTGACCTCAGCTTTTATCAGTCCAATGATTTGGATCTACAGAAGCCTTTGCCAAATCATAAAGCCTCAAAAATGATTTTTCCAGATAGAACAGGTACTGGTGAATTGAGATTGGACTTACAAGAACTTGATGGCTCTTCTATCGCTTTCGAAGATGATGATTTCAGGGTTAAATTCAAAGGATTCCGAAATGGATATAGCCTAGCAGGCAACACGGATACTGACCAGTTTGTTAATGGAAATTATAGAGGTGGAAAAGCTTTCTCTTTTTTTCCTAGTCTATGAAAATTGATGATGAAGAAGACAGTTACGTTTTGTTCCTGAGGAACCTGACGAAAAATGGAATGAAGTATATGTATACATTTTGTTCTCCACATTGTTCTCTTCTTATATGTATGTTTGTAATTGTAATATTCATTGATCCAATGTAAATAAACTTATACAATGAATACAATTCATTTTTTCGCAATATTAACAGCAATACCATCCAGTGCCTCACACGTGAGCTGTCTTCGTTTCTTTGTTACGTTGTCAGTCAATGAAAAGAGCTGATCAATATTTTCACAAATAGACATCTAGACTATATTACGATAAGTGTGCCAGTAACGTGTAACAAGTCCGAATATATGATTTTGAATTTTTTTCAACTAAATATATAGAGAAAATATAAAAAAGAAAGTAATACAAATCATGAAACAACAACAAAACTCCTGGATGACTTGATTGATTCCAGTGGCGCATTTGCCTTTTCAGCTGCATGAAAACCCGGAAAAACCTGCAGCACCACATCATCTGAAGATCTTGATCTGTCAATGTCCTCTCTTTCATAAAACAAAATGTAGGGTGTCTTCAGAGGCTCCAATGAATTCAAGATATTGCCAGAATATTTGGTGACACGACTATCGTCAAACTTAAACCAGTTCGTTTCGTTTTTGATCAATGCGTACTAATGACCAGATTCAACCAGAACCACAGTGAACAATGACTGCATGCAGTCATTATATAGTGGATAATAGTGGACTGCTAGAACCTTCGTAAGGGTTTAGTGCTTCTGTCAGAGGTTGAGACATGTTTGAGGATCATCAGTGCTATTATTATATTGACTGGTGCCTCAACTGAATAGTCAGTTAGTTTGGCGCATATTAGGCAATACAGTTGAGCATCACTTGTTAAAAGTTCTATTTTCAGATGATTTAATAATAAACTTCGCACGGACTGGTTATCAGTCATATTAGAAAACGCTAGTTGAAGTCACATTCGTTTTTGCTACCTCTTGAACATGTACTACAAAGTGAATTAGTGAGGATTTTTCCAGCTATGAAGGTACCAAATTCTTTGAAACTAAACCAGACTGGAAAGTGGGTCTATAACTCACCCCGGAAAACCCTTCTATAGAAACCGTCCGAGAAGAAAACAGAAGAACTGCTTCAACAAATCAGGGAGGAGGTCAGAATGAATACAGGGATACTGACGGCAAACTGGTCATTGTGAGATCATCTGAACAAAATGATTGAGGCCTTCGCTGCAGGAAATACAATAAAGTGATAGAGACAACTCGTCAAGTTATATAGAAATGTGCTTTACTGGATCACAGGAGACAAACAATATATGAACAACCGAAAGTATGACCGAAGGTTATGACTAACATCCAAAAGCAACCTATAAAAACTAGTACAGGGAGCAAGATTGTTATAATGAGTGTTATGGAAAAGATGGAGGAACCGCAATGAGCTCATGATACTGCAGTGTCTATTGGAGACTTGCTAGAATTGAACAAACGGCTCCAAAGTAGCAGTTGAAAAAGTGAAGTAAGACGGTAGTAGGCTCTGTTAGAAATATTTCCAAACTGTCAGTGAGCTAGGTTGCTGGCCAAACTAGTCTGGTAGGCAATGAAACAACTTACTCACTTGCAAGGGACGGCGTTGCAAGCGATTTCATTATACCAGAACTTACTATTGGTATTACTTCGGGATGGTGATATTTTCTAGATCAAGCGGTCCAGCCCAGTGGAACTGGTAACACTTAATGCTGACAGTCATAGGCACCAGCCATTGACAGAAGTTGCTTAGAATTATTCACTCTAGTCAGTCCCGGTCTTATTGTGAAAGAAACATTTTTCACAACCGATGTGTGGCATCCACTACCAAGGTAAAAGCAACTTCCGATACAGGAACAACTTTGGGGTAGAAGATAAGTAGATTCCAAGTCCAAATTCTTATAAGCATCGATATTACTTGGTAAAATTATACGGGAAAGAGGTCATTAATTGGAGGTTATTGACACCACAGCGCGCAAATTTTAACTAACTATATCATTTAATAACCGAGATTAAGAAGTTGCCAGTATGAGGTTAGCTTAAATATAGCATTTATAAGTTATCTTCAATGTTTGAGACTTTAGAAATGCCATAAAAATGCTAAGGTTTGAACAAAATCGATAACTCACAAAGAAGCCCGGATTGAACAAAAAAGAGTGATGTCGCTCTACAGCGAAAAAAAAAAATATATTTTAAAGGTTTTTTCAGTTTGTTTGGGTAGTAGTACACTTTGAAAATGATGCAAATTCAAGATGGCCGCAGCTACAAAATGGCGAAATACATATTCTTCCACAACTACCTCAATATGGCAGGGTTTGAGTAGTAAAATACTAGTACATATTATACAGTGCATTTCTTTAATGTCCCCCTCTTTTATTTTTTGAACGGGTCAACTCAAAAAATTGAAATTTGAAATAATGGAATCAATGCATGAATTCTTTATTTTGAGCTGAAATTGACAGATGAAACTTTCAAGATGGCGACTGGGCGCCATCTGGAAAAAAAATAAGTGAATAGGGGGGTCTTGTGACACATTATTTTAAAGCTCCTGATGAATACTTCACAACTCTAGAATATGAAGTCAATANTAAAAATAGTCAACATTATTGATAAAATATTGTGGCCCATGAACCACTAAAACAGCCACAATTGATTCCTTCACCGCTACTCCGGTCCTGCACGTAACTCAATGTCTAACAGACATTCTGATATGAAATGAAGTATTTACCTAATTAACTATGGCACTGAATTATTCTTTGCAGCCACGCCCTCGTTTCACCAGCTGGTTGCAAAAAGATGGTGATGCAATAAAGTCTCCAAGAAAAACGCTGAGTAGATAGAATTCTTTCTGTTTTTCTGTTGCCGTCTTGTAGTTGCTGAAAGGTGAAAAATATCATATTGTTGGCTATAATTATCTTCGAAATAGTACTAATATTATAATTCATTATTATTATTGCCGATAAAGTACTTGAGGTAATATAAGAAATGATTAAATGAATAATATAAAAAACAAAACAGAAACTGACTTCAATTATTATCAGACGTCTATACACTTGTGACAAAAGGCCTGTAACGTACCCACGACATGTTACGTTACTTTTTTTAATTGATTCGGCCGTTAATGATGAAGATCCATAGTAATTTCATAAACTATACCTCACGATTTGATCTCCACACACTTTATTTGAAAAAAATATAACGACTTGTTTCGCTAACACAGTAGCTTTATCAACAGTGTTACGTTACTCCTGAAACGTAGTACAGTTGCATTTTAATCCATACCAATTAGACACGCGTAACCGTACGGATCAATTTTTAACCATCGCGGCATCGCATCAAAGGACAGTTACGTTACGCTCGGTTATAGGTTTGGCAAGAATAATATAGATATCGCGTATCTTCGCCAATTGTATGCGACATTGTATCGTACCTTGTTCGTTAATGTTATGACCAAAACTTAAAATGCTTAAGGGAGCTTACTGTGTCATCTCGCAACGAGCCAAACATATTCAGTGAACAACAGCCAAGCAACAAACAAAATAAAGAACCGAACGATAATTCGTACATAAATTTGGAAGAGATGACAAACAGATTCATGAGCCCTTCGGCGGTTTTGCTGTTTGGTCCAGTCATCTCAGTCAGAACTAGGTAAGTATCTCGGTATTTGAGCTACCCAGCTATTACCTTCTATTTTGACATCCTGAAAGTTACCACCACATCCCTAAATATTTGGAAGGCTTCAACATCTTGGGCGATCATCAATATAGCTTTCGGAAACAAAGATCAACAGGAGACCTTCTATCGTTTGTCACCCATATTTGGAGCGACGCAATCGAGAAACCTGGAGAGTCGAGAGCTGTTGCGCTTGATATTTTTAAAGCCTTTGACCGTGTGTGAGGGTTTGCTGGCCAAACTTTTACCATCAATGCTGGTGTTCCTCAGGAATCTAAGAATCTAATATTACGGCAGCACACTTGTTTTGTTATTCCATTCAGATTCCAGGACATCTTCACCGGCAGCAGGAGATTGCATATCTTCGTGAGGATCTAGAGGTGATTTCGAATTGGGGTGGAAGTAACCAGGTTCAATTCAATGCCACGAGAACCCAGGCATCAGTTTTCTCCTAAAGGATAAATGTCTCCGAAACGGATATAACAATGTTAGGAACAGACAATTCAGCTTTCTGCTTTGATGATGTTGGGGGTTGAAATGGACACAATCATGTCGCTGGAACTGCAAAGGATGCTTCTCAAAACCTTGGAACACTGTTTTCGAACCAGAAAACCGTACACACCTCTGCAACTTTCGATGCTTTATAAAGCTCAGATCAGACCTTCTTTGGAGTATCGTTCACATATATGGGAGCTCCGCCCCTAAGCGTACCCTGAAGCTGCTGGATTCTATCCAGAAAAAAGGCATCCGAACATCACTTGTAACCTTGATAGTTTGGAATATCGAAGAAGGGTTGGAGATTTGTTCTTCTTTTATAGATACTTTCACGGGAAGTATTCAAGTGATTCAGCACAATTGATTCCACCAAGAGCGATCTACCAACACTAATCTACTGTTGTACACCCAATATCTTTTGAATGCTCTGGAAAATGAACAACAGGTGGACGTAATTTACACCGTTTTCTCAAAAGCATTTGACATCGTGAACCATAAAGTTTTTTGTGAAAAATCAGAGGCAATTGGCTTTTTTGGGTTCTCCAGTTATCTTTGTGATAGATCACAGTTTGTGGAAATTAAAGGATTTACCTCTCACGAGATATCTGTTACCTCAGGAGTACCTCAAGGAAGTCAATTGGGACCTTTTCTCTTCAATATCTTTGTGAATGACATCAAAAAAATTACTCACTGTGAAATACTGATGTTTGCAGACTATTTAAAATTTTTTAGGGCAATTGATTCATTGCAGGATTGTCCGAAAACTCAAATGGACCTTAAATCTTTTTCTGATTGGTGTAAGATGAATTATATGAATGTCAATGTGGCAAAATGTAAAAGTATTTCCTTTTTAAAGTCATTTAACCTTCATACAGCTGGTTATAATATTGCGGGGAAGAACTTGGAACGTGTACAATCTATACGAGATCTGGGTGTTATGATGGATGACAAGATGGACTTTCATTTACAGTATGAACACATATCTAACAACGCGATGGAATGCATATGGAATTCATATGCAGATCAACTGAAGTCCTTCCCCGAGGAGGACACGTTACAAATAAAATTTCAGTCTCGACTTTCATAGGTGTAATTATGGAAAACATTCTCCTTTGTCCAGAATTCTATCAAATGCCAATAGGACCAATATTGATTTTTTTCACATCTCTCAGAGCACTCTTAGATATACTCTACGTGGTATAGATTTATACGACTATTTTTTTATCACAATTTAATTTTAATTTCCTCTATGTAGGTTTTATTGGATATATAGATACTAGAATAGTTAACTTTCCAAGGGTAATATATTGTACAAAAATTGGGTTACCCGTTGAATGAATAAATAAATGAATATCAGAAATACGCGATGGACTGTGGCTGCTCATCGTTTTGAGGTTCAACTCAGTACACCTGGAACTTCACTGTTTAAGAACTCTTTAATTTGAAAAACTACGTTGATGTGGAAAAAACTTTCTGAGAATGTTTTTCCAAATGAATTCAGTCTCCAGCGATTCAAATCTAACGTGAATCGCTACTTTCGCACAGACACCGCTCTTAGAGCAACTTGAGAATTTGTTTGTAGTGCTAGTGTTTTGTCTTGAAAAAAAAAACACATGATAGGGTGTACATGACTATTAAAATCTAAGGTCATAGAACACAAAAATCGATTCTGTGCATATTATTTTCGAATATCTTGTTTCCTATGTGTTTCTGCTGCGATATTGTAGAAGATTGAATTCCTTACAATTTTTGTTCGAAAAGTTTTTTTATACGTTGAATCGTTTTCAAAACAGAGGGCGGAGAGCGCGCGGAACCGGTAGTTCCGGTCAAAAACACGCCATACAAAGTTTATGAATTATTGATAAATACATAATAACTAATAAATGTCATTTTTCATCAATTATTACGTTATATTTCATGATTTTTCTCATCAATCGAATATCTGTCTCATTACCAAAATCTGTGGACATTATCGATCATCTTAGTTATGCACAAGTCTACAAAACTGGATAAACCTATGCAGTTATCGAATATTCTATCAACAAGTGCAGCAGCTCACAATGTACTCTACTCTACAAAAAAGTATAAGTTTTTTATCTGTACTCAGAGCTTCAGGGTTTTTGATTATAAACAGGTCCTGTGCTTTGAGCTTTAGAATTTTAAGTTATATTTCTATGGGTCTGGAGCTACGAGGCTAAGAAGCTTTGTATAACTATGAAAAGAGAAATGCAAATTTCTATGTTTTTTACCACTTTTATTTGTAACTAACGTTACTGCAGTTTTTTTTCATCATGATCTCCTACCACGTAGTAACGGCGACATCCATCAATTCTTTGTATAACTCTTTGAATTTTTGCATTCTCAAACGATCATATAATTTTCTTTCATCAACATTTTAATAATTTCAATGACTGGGCCTTCAACTGAATATCCTGTCATTAATCTATCATTTGATAATAAAATATATAAAACAATCTGGAAAAAAATATACTTTGTTCCTCCCAACAGAATGGCAAAGTAAAAAGAAAGCAGTATATCGAAAACGTCCAATTCACCGAGTAAAAATATCCATTAACTCCCCAATCGCTAGGGACACAATAAAGGATGATATATTGAGGAGAAACAAAGTAAAAAAGTCGTGCCGGACGTTTTTATTTACCTGAAAACCTCGTCCCAATCGACGGCCACTTCCTGTCGTCCGTTGATTGTTCTAGCTTTTTTTGCGTGATGTAAACACACTTTGGGATAAATGCAGACGTTCTCGCCCAATTCAGAAACCAATCTTTTCTCGGCTTCGATCATGTTGATCATTTCATCAGACGGGATAGCTCGACGTGATCGTTTAGCTACGTAGGTGCCTGTAAACGTGAGAGGTTTAATTTGTTTTCCTTAATTGATTGCGAAACGAAATTAAACAAAGTTTTCAGTTAGAAGTTGGAACGTTTCTAGTAACATTTTGGATGTTATTCACCCGAATTAGACGATGTTAAGTGATTGCTGAAGAGATTTATATGACTTAACCCTCCTGCACTCGGGTGAAGCAGAGTAACGTGCACAATCGGGTGGTGTCTGTCAGACACGTTTTTCAGTTTTAAAAAAACATAATGAGATGAATAAAGTAAAAAAAAACTTTTCATTCAGAATTGTTTATCGATACATTGATTAACAGAATCAAATTCAAACAAAACAAATTCAACCAAAAAAATAACACCTGGTTTTTCTACTTGCTGCATAACTTGACAAAATTAGACTCTAGTGAATTAATCAAAAATTAAATTAATTTTCGTAACTTTCATCTTCGCAATCTCTACAAAATGGATTAACGTGTTCCAAACAAAGCCATTTTGAACACTTTTTGCAAAAATATCTCGTTTTTCGCTTTCTGCAATAAGCACAACGTCCATGTTCATTTTCGAGTGGTCGTAACAGAGAACTTCCATGTCAAACCTCTGATATCTTTTCTAATATGTGGATTGATTGCTCGATCAATTAGATTTTTTATAACTAATTCGTAAGCAAGTTTTTTCAGTAATAGCCTCCGGCGTTTGTAATTGATATCCGGGGGAGAGGCATTGCTTTGACTTATTACAGAAGCATTTACTCCTGCGGTGTTGAGTATATTATAGAAGATAACCATGGGTCACCTGCAAGTGGTTCTACTTACATTATATGCAGCCATCTCTTGGTCAGCCAAATCAACACCGCCTTTAGTTACGTTATAACAGGTAACCATATCTGGCTTACACTGGTTTTCTGTCGCTGCGTCAATTTTGTCATCGAAGTGCATGGAAGAAATTGAAAGAACATATTTTTTCTTTTTTGGCACATATGATACCAAAGTAGCATTTCTACGAAATGCAAACATGGAGGAATATACTTGCCTCGATGTGATATCGTTCAGTTCTGCAGGAATTTCTGATCGATTCTTGCGAAGCTTGTAAACCAATTGTCCATTGTAACATTTCTTCCCGAATCATATATAGGAGCATACATTCTTTTCACAACTTCATATGTTTTATTTGAAATATTGTATGGACCATTGAGTTGAAGTCCAACATAAACTTCTGAATTGACGATATAACAAGTTCTTGCATCAGTCAACATGAACACTTTTATTCCACAACAGAACACTTCTCGTTCACTTCTCGTATGAACATCATCAACTCGTATGCAAGACAATAAGAAGGTGAATCTGCGATGGGCCATTGTTGCACGAATAATTTCGAGGCCTGAGCCATCTTCAGCCCCAAAGTCTTTGGTATTTTTTCTCCCACTTTTATAAAGCCCCATCAAGTAGATGATCCCAATGACAGCCTTCAGTTCTACAATATTTGTAGGTATCAAACGAGTTCAAACGAGGTGAAATGATCAGTGAGAACGATGCACGCAGTGGACGTCCCAAAGAGGCTGTTACCGACGAAAACATAAGAAAAGTCCACAAAATACTTTCAGATGACCGCAAAGTGAAGTTGATCGAGATAGCTGTGGTTATAAAGCAACGGTCAGCAACAGGCGGACCGCGAAAGATCGAACCTCGGACCGTGAAATATACCAAGTATAAATTGTTGCGTAGATAAGGCATACAATACCTCGATTGAATAAAAAAATATTTTTAAGCCACATAGAATTCAACTTAATACTTATTTCATTTTGAGTTTCCTAGCTAACCTATTCTACAAGTACCTAAAACTGATCCCTTCTAGCCTGGCTAATTAAAGAACAAGTAACCTCCTTCTTGCGAAACTAAGATACGCAGAAAGCCAGAAAGCACTTCGAGTTCATAACAAACAAGCGCAATATGCTGGTTGTGGGTTTCCTAAAAGATATTTTGAAATATTTAAATGCGCTTAACACAGAGTTTAAAATAAATGTTGAATTAATGTGTGATCTGATACAAAGCGTATCTGCTTTTTGTCGTAAGGTGGATATCTCTGAAAATGATATTGCAAACAAAAATTCATTAATTTTTTGACAATTCTTGAATATAAAAAGAACTATGAAGAAGACATTGTGCAGTTATTGAGAAATTTTTGATCGATCTTAGGAACGATGTAGCGGCAGAATGGACATATATAGTTGCCAAGTCGTTTAATCTATCAAAGCCATCACTTCAAATAGAGATAATTGATTTTCAAGATGTGTCTTTGCAAATGTATGAAACGGGCCAAACATGTCCCAGAAAAATATAAACATTGCAAGAAACTAGCTATAAATTTGGCCACTATGTTTGGTTCGACATACGTATGTGAAACTTCTTCTTCAAAGATGAATTTCTCGAAAAACAAATTTCGTTCGAGAGTTACGGACGCCAACCTAGAACACCCACTTCGAATTTGCTTTTCCTCTCGAGAACCAAACTGGCTCAAGACCGTCGGTGTAGTTTCTCACATCAATTTTAGGTCTTGTGTCTTATAGTTTGGAATTTGATTTGAAACCAAAGAAATACATAGATATCACCTCATTGTTATCAGTTGATTTTTTTTTCTGAACCCCATTGAAATTTTCCAACAGTATCCGGACCGCATCTGAAACTACTTGCCGACCCCTACTCTAAAGATATCGAGTGAACGTGTTGAACATTTCGTGTATGAATATTTGGTGTGCTAAAGCTCTGTTCAAAGAGGGTGTCTCGCGATCTCACAATCGACCAAAAACAACAATGAATTGAGCAGTGTTTGAAGCTGTTCCACCATTAAAAACCAGAATTAATGCGTCGATAAGTGACAATGGATGACACATGGCTCTATCATTTTGCACCAGAATCAAAACGATCGTCATTTGTGTGGACTGCAAGTGGCAAACTGAGTCCAAAGCGAGAAAAGACGCAACAGTCAGCTGACAAAGTTATGGTATCAGTATTTTGGGATGCGCATGGTATAATATTAATCGACTATCTTGAAAAGGAAAAAAACATCAACAGCGACTATTACAAAGCGTTTTTAGAGCGTTTGAAAGATGAAATAGCGAAAAAAAAGGTGCTGTCATCAACACAATGCAGCGTGTCACAAAACAATGATAACGATGGCCAAATTTCATGAATTGGGCTTAGAATTGGCTCAGCATCCACCGTATTCTCCAGATCTGGCGCCCAGCGACTTTTTTCTACTCTCAAACCTTAAGAGAACGCTCCCTGGAAAGATATTTAGCTCCGATGAAGAGGTAATCGTCGAAACTAAGGCATATTTTGAGAATAATAAAAAATCGTACCGTAAAAATGATATCGGAAAATTGTATGACCGCCCTCGGAGGCAACTATAGTGAATAATGAAGTGAAATTTTATTAAAAAAAGTTTATGTTAGTCTACTGTATATAAAAGTTTAGCTGATTGCTGCCTTTACATGGAAGATATTTGAGAAAAACTATAGCCAATAGTATAACCATACTATTCCTGAAAACAGTTATAAGAGGATCGATAGTCCTTTCAAGCATGTCAACGTATAGATCATTTGTCAATATTTTTTCAACAAATTAACAATCAATTATGACATTTCCTGAAAGTTCCATGTGGAAATTTAAAACTTTTTTGTTAAACTACTTTTGTATGTACATTTCTTGGAGATAGTCCAGTTTTTCTAACCATTTCTACTGATAGAGGACTCAATAAAATGATTTTTTCTGAATAATAATCTAAACCATTATCATTTTTATACCTATAAGTTTTTTATTGAACCGCAAAAGTAATTTCCATTGGTTTTTGAACAAGGGGTGATGTGAGTACCAGTTCAAAACACTCTGTAAGAGGATATAGTTTGCAAGATATTCATTAGTATCTTTCTCTACTTCAAGTTGAGTTTTAAAATATCTCTCTCCAATTCAATCTTCCTTTTTTTCACGGATCGATTGAACCCAGTTGAGCAAATATAGTTAGTGATGCATACAAATTGGGGATAATTCAATTATGCAAGTGGCTTTATTAGGCGTTAACGGTTTTGCATTTGAAGATGGTTTCACTGATGCAATAAGCTATATCATGCGGGGATTTTCAATAATTGATTTCAGTCCATTCAATCAGCCGGTTTCTACGTTTGCACTAAAACGTGATACTAATTTTTGTGCTGATTGAGGATTCTGAATGCATACAAAGCAGCAAATGCTATTGTTATAGAATTGTACGATATGGTAATTGAAGCGTGGTTCATATTGTGATATTTTATTCAGTGGTGTAAATGAAGGAAAATCAGTCACATTAAAACTTATTCTTCTGAAGTAACTGAGATTACTTTGCTTGGTTTCAACTATTTACATAATATCAACTCTAGCACCCCTGTTAAGCAAATAGAACCACTTTGTGAAAGTTATTTTTCGGGTTTTTTGGCTGTAGTTTTCATGCCTGATGTTTTGTCTACCACTGCGGTAAACATTCCCAAAGGCGATGTGGTAACAGTCGCAGTGCCCGAGTCGATGCTTGAGCTGTTGTTCCCGTTGTTCCCAACTCAGTACCTACGATGCTGGTATTTGACTCTGGTTTTATATTATCATCAGTGAGTGTGTCTTGGTTTATCCTAACCTTGTGCACCTTTATGGACAGGTAGCCAGATTTAATTATTGTTCACTGTCTCTTCTTTTCTATTCAAATTATCCCTGCGCTTTTGACCTTCTTTTGCTCCTCTAATACCTCTTTAATCGGAAATTACTATATCTTTGATATGAGTTCCTTTATTGTTGAGAGCTGGTTTGGCTACAGCTGATTTGTCGATTTGTCCAAGTCGACAATTTCTCTTGTGTTCAGATACATTTCTTTTCGTGGTTCCAATATAGGCAAACCTGCAGCTACAAGGAATCCGGTATGCCCCGGGTGTTGCTAAAGGTTTTCTGAGATCCTCAGCTGACCTAAGATTTTGTCTGATAGTTTCTCTT